ACACAGAGAGGAGATGGCCAAGGAACTTTGTCCTCATTTTCGTCTCAGTTCATCTTAATCCAATGATGCTTTGTGATTAAGATGACTGAAAATAGCTTTCTTAACTGGACACACCATCTAAAAGCATGAAATCTAATAGAACCTTTATTACTTAACAACAAATGCAGTTTACCATATGTGAGTTTCATTTGGACGTATGCACTAAATTTTTATTTCCCTTAATCTCTGACCTCTCCTCTGTGTTTGGATAAACAACATAACCGAACAGCAATGATCGTGGCAGTACATTTCAGGTTGCCTGGACAGTGCTCCTCACTTCTAGTTAGAGAGGCTACAGCCGAAGTCAGCTTCAGAAAGGAGCTCTGGCTGCCTCCCTGTTCCTGGAGGGGTTATGACTCCCAGACCACACTTGTAAACAGCAGGCACCTACACCTAGACTGCCTGGAGCCTCACGCATCTGATTTTCTCCTACTGACAAAGTTGATATCATTTTTGCTTTGGGAGGAGAGAAGCAGGGACTTCCTGGGGATGGACACCCTTGGTGCATTCAGCAAAATAGCCTGGCTCTAGCATGTCTTCCTGAGGGATGAGGGGATTGGAGACCTGGACCTGCTCTTCTTTTGATGATCCCTGATTTAAAACTTTCTCCAGTAAAGCCCATTTCAGAACATCTGCATGTGGCATTGTGGAATTAGACTTGAGGCCAGCTATGTAGCAGGTCAAGAGTGTGAAGGGGCCTGCTTTCCACAGTTTGCTTTCATTTATTATTTTCATTTATGAGTCAATTGGAACCTTTAAGAATTGTGATGAGTGCCAGCTGTGGTGGCTTATTCCTGTAATCCCAGCACTCTGAGGGAGGTTGAGGTGGGTGGATCACTTGAGGCCAGGAGTTCAAGACCAGTCTGGCCAACATGGTGAAACCTCATCTCTACTAAAAATACACACACACACAAAAAATCCCAAAAACAAACAAACAAAAACACTAGGCATGGTAATGTGTGCCTGTAATCACAGCTACTCAAGATGCTGAGGCATGAGACTAGTTTGAACCCAGGAGGCAGAGGTTGCAGTGAGCCCAGATCACACTACAGCAGCCTGGTTGACTGAGTGACTCTGTATCAAAATACATACATACGTACATAAAAGAATTGCAGCATATTTTATATTTTATAGAATGTTTTTATATTCTGTACCTAATGATCACGAAAATTTGACAAGATTTATTTTTATTATATAGATAATAAATCAAGTTTCAGAGATGTTAAAAGCTTCCTCCAAAAGTGGCAAATCTGGGCCTGGATGTAAAATCTTCCCACTGCAAGCTAAACTTTCTTCACTGTTCCTGAGAGCTTTAGAAAGTGTTTCTAGAAGCAACCCCATTCATTTCCAAATATCTAAAGCATCCACATATGAGGGAGGGTCTTTGCCAAGTGCTGGTGAATTTAAAGATCTAGAAGACTCCCCCAAGAGCATTCTTTCATGTACTAAAAAGGGAAGATCATTTTAAGGAGCCATTTATTATAAAAATATTCATTATATTTTTCAGTTTTTTCAAGCTACAGTGCCTTTATTATTATATTAGACAAACTTTACAGAAAAAAAGGAGTGGAATATCTTAGCTGCTGCTAAGCCAGAAGAGAGCAAAACATCAGCAGTGCCGAGGTCCCTGAGTAACTCTGAAATGTTAGAACTCAATCAAAGCTTGCCGGAGGAGGAGGTCTGTGAGTGAGGGTGGAATGGAATGTCTTCTAATCTGTGATCTGAATTCAGATATTTTCTTCAAAATGGCTTCAGAGGCTAAAATATATCTTTAAAAATCTATTTTGGGGCCAAGTGTGGTGACTCGTGCCTATAATCCCAGCAGTTTGGGAGTCTGAAGTAGGTAGATCATTTGAGGTTAGGAGTTCAAGACCAGCCTGGCCAATATGGTGAAACCCCAACTCTACTAAAAAAACAAAAATTAGCCAGGTGTGGTGGTAGGCACCTGTAGTCTCAGCTACTTGGGAGGCTGAGGCAGGAGAATCGCTGAGATCATGCCACTGCACTCCAGCTTAGGCAACAGAGTAAGATTTTGTCTCAAAAAAAAAAAAAAAAAAAATCTATCAGTCAGGTGTGGTGGCTCATGTCTGTAATCCCAGAACTTTGGGAAACTGAGGTGGATGGATCACCTAAGGTCGAGAGTTCAAGACCAGCCTGACCAACATGGGTGAAACCTCATCTTTAAAAAAAAAATCTTGGCCAGGCATGGTGGCTCATGCCTGTAATCTTAGCACTTTGGGAGGCTGAGGGTGGATCACTTGAGGTCAGGAGTTGGAGACCAGCCTGGTCAACATGGTGAAACCTCATCTCTACTAAAAATACAAAAATTAGCTGAGTGTAGTGTCAGGTGCCAGTAGAGGCAGGAGAATTGCTTGAACCCTGGAGGTGGAGGTTGCAGTAAGCTGAGATCATGCTACTGCACTCCAGCCTGGGTGACAGAGTGAGACTTCATCTCAGAAAAGAAAAAATCTATCTTTTCAACCTCTAATTCTACTCATGGTAGCCTTCAAGGTTTAGACAGGGATGCCATGCTTTAAACTTAATGTTTAAAACTTAATGTTTTAAAAACTGAAAAATTAATATTTTCAAAACTGTCAACTGCACAGAGAGTTCCCTAGCCTGGCCCAACTTAGTCATGCTTCTTCTCCAAGACCACCATATAAGGGCAAGTGTCTTAGGGCTCTTGGTCTTACTTGTCTCTAAAGTATGCCTCTTCTTCCAAGATGTTATGGATTCCTTCCTTCACTCCTTCAGTTACATTAAAAATTTCTTCCATTAGTTTTTGTTGTGTCTTGCACACACCTTCCTCAGAGCACTGACTGTGTTATGTTATTTATTTGTGTGTGCATGTGTGTGTTTCCTTCAACTAGTTTTGGAGCTCCTGAGGACAAAGAGCATGTCTATTCATCATTGTATCCCTAGAACTTAGCATGATGTCTGACAAAAATGAAGTTCACTTAGGTGTAGGTGCTAGATCTTCCTCATCCTGAATCCCTCTGCTCTCCTCTGTGGTAGGACAAGGTGTTGGTGGCAGAGCACTCTGGGCTGCCTGGACAATGAACCAGTTGGAAGTGTGTTCCCACTTCTCCTAGGTGGGGAGGCTGCACCCAAAGACAGCTTCCTGAAGAGGCAGGGAATTAATGTTGGATAGACAAATGGATGGGAGAGGGTCTGCCTGGCTTGCTTAAGAACACACAACTAGTACTAAAAGGCAACAAGAACAAGAATTTGATTCAGGACAGGTATTCTTGTTCTTTGCATTTGCTGTTTTATCCCCAGTGCCTAGAAGAGTCCCTGACTCACAAGCATTTGATCAATATTTGTTGAATGAATGACTGATTGAATGACTGACTGACTAAATGAACGAAAGGTTAACTTCAAAGCTCATGCTTTTTATTTTATTTTATTTTTTGAGATGGAGTTTCGCTCTTGTTACCCAGGCTGGAGTGCAATGGCGTGATCTCAGCTCACCACAACCTCCATCTCCTGGGTTCAGTCAATTCTCCTGCCTCAGCCTCCTGAGTAGCTAGGATTACAAGCATGCGCCACCGTGCCCAGCTAATTTTTTGTATTTTTAGTAGAGACGGGGTTTCACCATGTTGACTAGGATGGTCTCGATCTCTTGCCCTCGTGATCCACCTGCCTCGGCCTCCCAAAGTGCTGGGATTACAGGCGTGAGCCACCGCGCCCGGCCAGCTCATGCCCTTTTAACTTCATTCCCAACTTCCAATCTTTGTCTACAGTGTGTATGTCTGTGTATAGATACATCCTTCAAAGAAATAAAAATTTTAATGATCTGTTCTTGACATTAATCCATAATGAAAGATTAATGATAGCTATTTACAAGTATTTTACACACATAAACACACGCATTTTAAGCCATTGAAATAGCCTTTGTAATTTGTTTCATTTACTAGAAGAAATGTAACTTTCAGAAAGTAAACAGACATCCTACCTGAAATTCATATAATGTTACATTCTCAGAATTAGTTTTTGGTTAACTGGTGGAATGAATTTGTCTTGTAAAGCGTCCTTGAAAAAAGCACAATACCTAGGTGGATTGAGGAAAACCATGGCTGGGCATATGGGGAAATGCATGACCATGGTTGGTTATGTGAACAGCTGCCCAGTAGCAGAAATGGAGCCTCTCAACACTTCTAAAAATGTAGAAAGCCAGCAACTCGATATGTGCTTCTGCCAAGAATCACATGTAGGTTTATAATTTTCCACCTAAACTTCTGGGTCCTCTCTTCTTCACAAAGAACGGCAGCTGATCTTATCTTTATCTGTTACCGACAGCGATACAGCCATTCACTGCAAGGCAGAACAAAAGCCAGCAGAGGGATGGAAGAAACCAGAAACAGATCTTTCTTGAACTGATTTGTATCAGAGTTATAAACAATTCCAGGTATGAAAGAAAAGTAGACAGGCAAGCAATTACTGAAGACAAGAGGAAAGAATGATATTTTTCTGTTTCTTTTTTACCCCTTCTCTCTGTTTCCTTTTTTTTTTTTTTTTTTTTTGTCCAGATCCCCAATGCAAACATTTTGGGAGCTGGTTGTGCCTCCCGCAGGAGGCTGTTCACTGTGTGCCCTCTCAGAGGCATCCACACTGGCTTCCCACCCATGGCCATCCCTCTATGGTTACACAGCGTATTTTATAATGCAAATCACTGTCTACAACATGGCTCATTATTTTCCTCTCTGAATAATATATGAACACATCAATTATGCGTCAGTCTGTTTCTAAATGCATACCCTTGTCGCACTGACCTCTTTCTACTTTTCTATTTTTCAGTATGTTCCTGACATTTGTCAACTGGGTTAGTTCCAAACCTTTCTAACCTACGATTGTATTATTATAGCACTTTTCAAACTTTCTTCTATTCACATCAGTTTGACACAAAGGCACAGTGTGTGTGTGGGGGGGTGAGCCCAGCTGTGCTGGCCGCAGGCACTCACCATTGCTTGTAGTCCGCGTCGCAGTTACAGTAGTACTTGGGGTCTGTGCAGTTGCGTTCAATGCCACAGGCACATTTCTGGATGCCAGGCCCCGAACCACCCCAGTAGTAGTGCTTTTCATTGGCTTTGCCGACCCACCAAGTGTAAGGGCTTCCATCTACAAGAAAAGGGAAAGGCATATTTAGAAAGAGACCTGGGTTCAGTCATTATACTGCCACACTTACGCCCACTTCCCCAGACTGTACTCTGATAGCCTGAACATCACACAACCCTCTTAAAAGTCAATTTATTTCAAACAGACAACCCACAGAGTGGGAGAAAATCTTCACAATCTATCTATCCGACAAAGGACTAATATCCAGAATCTACAATGAACTCGAACAAATTAACAAGAAAAAACAATCCCATCAAAAAGTGAACTAAGGATTTGAATAGAAAATCCTCAAAAGAATATATACAAAAGGCCAATAAACATATGAAAAAATGCTCAACATCACTAATCATCAGGGAAATGCAAATCAAAACCACAATGCGATACCACCTTACTGCCGCAAGAAAGCCTGTATTCAAAAAATCAAAAAATAATAGATGCTGTGTGGATGTGGTGAAAAGGGAACACTTCTACACTGCTGGTAGGAATGTAAGCTAGTATAACCGCTACGGAAAACAGTGTGGAGATTCCTTAGTACTAAAAGTAGAACTACCATTTGATCCAGCGATCCCACTACTGGGTATCTACCCATGGGAAAATAAGTCATTATACGAAAAAAGATACTTGTACCTACATGTTTATGGCAGCACAATTTACAATTGCAAAAATGTGGAACCAACCTAAATGCCCATCAGTCAATGAATGGATAAAGAAACTGTAAAATATACATAGATATAAATAGAATACACATGCACATATATATGATGCTACCATGTGAACAGTTAGAGTATCTAAACAAATAATACCAAAAATAAGGACCATATTGGAATTATGCAAAAAAACACTGTGGTACTTTCTCAGCCATTGCAATAGTTTTCCTTAAGAACAATTCTGTTAACAGGCAGGCAATCTAAAGTTGCTGAGAACGTACTGGATGAATGCAATGAATGAACAAGGCCTCTAAATTTAAAAAGGAGTTAGTTATTCAGGCATTCTCCCATTCCATACAAACTGCTTGATTTTCATGTGTATTGACTTAATTTGGAAGTTATGATTTTCTCTTGGCATGATCACATTTGGCACCCACATTTAAAAAAAAGCATATTTGACTTAATCTGGTAAACAATCAAGAGGGAGAGTTCAGGACCCTGTTCCAAAGGGTGAAACACACCCGCTTTCTGACATAAAGGTCCACCCTGAAGCTGTGTCTTCTGTTTACCCATGCCTGGTTCCAGCATATGGGGGATCTGTTTGCTTTCTATGTTTAAGACGTTTGCTTCACCCTTCTTGTTCCATCAGGGTAAGTGGTGAAACATCCAGCCTCTCTGATGCTTCCTACTGCCAATAATAAACTTTTCTTTTGAAGCAGTCCAGAGTTCCAACAATAAGGGTTGAAAAATCCCATCTATAGAAACTATAGCAAGTCAGCCACCCAAAGAAATGTTAAGGTCATTTGGCCCATAAGCTACACTAGGTCTCTGCTGATTCCGTATCTGGCCTTGTTACAGAAAGAGGTGAAGGTGGAGGGTACCATGTTGACCTCATGAAATGCCTTTGAGTCTGGGTAGGTCACAACCTGACTCTGAAAATGTAGAAACATTACCAAAACTGGTTATCATATTCATTTATTGCATTGCATTTTAAAAGCTGACCTCATGCTAAATTCTCTCAAAGGAACTTTTGGTTAATATCACTGTTTTTGGAAACTAGAGGATACTAACCCACTTGGTGGAGGAGACAAAGCAAATCAGGCACCTGTAAAAGTGGTTTGCTTGGCAGGTAACTCCTTCGTCCTGCTTGTACCTCAAATAACCAATGAATGATTATGTATCTCAGAATTTTCACCCAATTTATGACTGTTCCTTCTAGTGACCAGTAGAAACAACCTAATACTGTGTTCTATTTTTGTTGTAGACAGTAATAATAATTAGCATGAATCAGAGAAGCTGTGTGTGGCTCAGTATTCTTTGTAAAAATCAGGACATTGTCGGTAAAAGGAGAGGATATCAGCTTCACCTTCAGAAGGAGACTACCAGAAACATGCTGTAGGGGAAAAGGAGAAGAGGCAGCTGATTTCCACCACACCTTCAGGGAGTGCCCAGAAGCCCAGGAAAGGCAGTCTCATTGTCGAATTGTTTGGGCAGTGGTGAAGCTGCCTGTGCAAAGTTGTGACTGAGACAGTGAAAGAGATCTAACTTAATCGATTCCATCTTGCATCTAACCTCCAAGTAGTCCTTGTTCCTTCCTGGACATAGGCTGAATTAACTTTGAAAGAAACTTGGTTTATAGTTTATAGTTTAAAACAAAGATGATGACAGCCCTTTCCCAATTCAGACCTTCTTCTTGCCTGGGGGACTATAAGATTAGAAATTATAGTTTAGGAGTCAGGCAGCTGGAGGCTACAAGATTCTGACCCTCCCTAAACTGCATCTAAAATCAGTGCTTGAGATACTTTGCAGACCCTGAACTTGATGGATCAACTGGCACCACTCAGATCAATAAACTGGCTCATCTGATCTTGTGGTCCCCACCCAGGAACTGACTGAGCACAAGAAGACAGCTTTGACTCTCTATGATTTCATTCCCTGAACAATCAGTACTCCTGGCTCACTGGCTTCCCCACTACCCACCAAGTGGTCCTTAAAAATTCTGATCCCCAAATGCTTGGGGAAACTGATTTGAGTAATAATAAAACTCTGGTCTCCTACGTAGCTCTCTCTGCATGAATTACTCTTTCTCTACTGCAATTCCCCTGTCTCAATGAATTGGCTCTGTCGAGGCAGCAGGCAAGGTGAACCTCTTGGGTGGTTATAGTGGTTGTTCCAGTAGAAGCCCTCAGCTGTGCATGGGATCCAGGCTGCACATTAATCTCCTAGGGCAGACCCTCAGCTCATTGTAGAGAGGGACTCTTATTAGACACCAGGATGGGATCTGAGGGGATGATCTGCAATAATTCCTGTATGTGCAAGGAGTGCAGGTGCAAGGAGGTGGCATGCTAGTGACCTGGTAAGAGCAGCCTAGTTTCCCAGCTGCTTCTCTCATCCCTCACTCTTTCTCAAGTCACAATACTTTAGTCCTCATACAGTGAATGCTCCCAGGGAGGTTGATGCAAAATTGATGTTGTTCTGTTCTTTTCCCCAGGAAAATAAGTTAAATACAGCACAAAATGCTTACCTTAGCTCTTTCCACATCTACCATAAAAGAATGCCAATAAGAAAAACATATTCCAGAGAGAAAGCAAATTGTAGACTCTGTTATTAGCATTGGCTAATTCCGTTAAATCACTGTAACTAAAATAAATTATTAATTTGTTGTGTATTTTATATTCAGCAAGAGGAGAATCGTTCAATTTACTTTGAGCAAAGAATTCCCTTATTCCAGTGCTATGCTAATGAAATGCTACTTTTTGCTTTACAAATCATTATTTACCTGTTAATTGGCTTTGGGGAAAAGCAGTTAAAGGCAATAAAAATGGAAAGCCTTTTTAAAAGACAAGGGTAAAAAGTGGTGAGGAAAGAAATAATTTCATTATCTATTTCCAAGAGTTCAAGAACTTCTATAACCTCAGAATATGAAGATTGTAGTTAACTATATTAAGTAGGTGTGGTCACTGCAATGAGATTAGGTAATGAGGAACAGCATTCTAAGTTAACTAGAGCTAAATTATCAAAGTAAAGCATATTGTATTAAAACAACCAAACATGAATTGAATTAAATATAATCACTATACTGTTTGTACTCACTTCAGATCAGGTTTTATTATGGTGAAGGGCTTATTAAGGTTTGGATAATTAAACTAGGAAAGGGAGAAAGAAAATAGGCTAGAAAGGAAAGATATTTTCTAAGATTTACTTAAAAAAAACCAATAAGCCAGGCGCAGTTGACTTAATTTGGAAGTTATGATTGTCTCTTGGCATGATCACATTTGGCACCCACATTAAAAAAAAGTATATTTGACTTAATCTAGTAAACAGTCAAGAGGAGAGCTCAGGACCCTGTTCCAAAGGGTGAAACACACCCGCTTTCTGACATAAAGGTCCACCCTGAAGCTGTGTCTTCTGTTTACCCATGCCTGGTTCCAGCATACGGGGGACTCTGTTTGCTTTCTATGTTTAAGACGTTTGCTTCTCCCTTCTTGTTCCATCAGGATAAATGGTGAAACATCCAGTCTCTCTGATGCTTCCTATTGCCAATAATAAACTTTTCTTTTGAAGCAGTCCAGAGTTCCAACAATAAGGGTTGAAAAATCCCATTTGTAGAAACTATAGCAAGTCAGCCACCCAAAGAAATGTTAAGGTCATTTGGCCCATAAGCTACACTAGGTCTCTGCTGATTCCATCTCTGGCCATGTTACAGAAAGAGGACAAAGGTGGAGAGTGCCATGTTTAATCCCAGCACTTTGGGAGGCTGAGGTGGGCGGACCACCTGAGGTCAGGGGTTCGAGATCAGCCTCGTCAAACATGGTGAAACCCTGTCTCTACTAAAAAATACAGAAATTAGCTGGGTGTGGTGGTGTGTGTCTGTAATCCCAACTATTCAGGAGGCCGATGAGACAGGAGAATCACTTGAACCCAGGAGGTGGAGTTTGCAGTGAGCTGCGATTGTACCACTGCACTACAGCCTGGACGACAGAACAAGACTGTCTCAAATCAATCAATCAATCAATCAATCAATCAATAGCTTTCTGTTATTTTCACCAGTAACAAGTTGTTGTTTCAGAAACACAAGGGTGAATGCTTGGGGACCACTTGAGGAAAATGTGGTACATACCTGTGATTTCCAAAATGTGTTCTTTGGAACTTCTGGGCTACACAAAGTAACTTAACCGGCTGCTTAAATAAATATGATCCTGGTGCCCTCTGAGATAAGACCCAGCACAGTCACTGGGACATTTAATTTGTTTCATTCCCACTGTTTTTATCAGATATTAAAAACAATACCACAAGGGTATATAATCTCCAAAATGAAAATGTAAAAGCATGTTTTTAGCTTGATGAAACCTGGCT